TAGGGACATGTGTAGGCTTCACAGTGCTTTTTTCCCCATGCTACCCTGCAGGAGTACCAGCTGCTGCTTAGTTCCTCTGACAGCATCCCTAACCTGTATTTTATTCATTCATTCATTCATTCATTCATTCATTCATTTTAAGTAGGCTCCAAACTGTGAGCCAACGTAGGGTTTGAACTCATGACCCTGAGATCAAGACCTGAGCTGAGATCAAGAGTTGGACCCTTAATTGACTAAGTCACCCAGGCTCCCCACATTCCTAACCTGAATTTAAAAAAAAAAAGATTAAGAAAGGCAATTTAGGTGATACAAACAAACTTTAATGTTTCATGAAATGGATAGTTCCGTTTTGAACTGCAAAATGGGTCAAAGGCAAGAAGCTTTTGTAGGGTAAAACATAAAGAAGAAGGAAGAAAATAATGGGAAATACTTGACAGGCTTGTTTGGGGTGAGAAGGCCCAGTGTTGGCTTGGCAGTTAAGGACCGGCTGACTGTATATACTGCATTTCAGGTCAGGGAGATGAAAGTTATCTAAGTTTCCCATTTGCTGATGGGGCACTCAGGGCAGGAGTGGCTCCATCTTAGGCCTAGAAATTTATTTCAAACTGGAACCCCATGGGAGGGAAATTCTGGGAAGCATGGATCTAGCATGGCTAAATTGTCAGGGTACAAAATCACCAGAGGACCTGTCTTTGCTGGCAAGGAAAAGGACTAAAGGAAGCTAATATTTATGGAATACATTTTGGGCCAGGTACTATGCTACATCCTGAACTTGATAGTTAATACCTTAGTAGGGAGCTCCCTGGACCAGGTGTCAGGAAAGCAATGGAATAAGGTGGGGTTGCGGCAGCCACTTTACACCCAGATTTTGGACATGCATCACATCCCCAAAGCCCAGGGAGGTATGAGTGAGCCCTGATCTACCCTGCCCCCATGTGGGTTACTGGGGGCCACCTGGGCACTAGAAGAGGCAGAAGCAGAGGCAGAAGCTGTGAGCTGCTGTGACCTTAACAGACTGAGGGGATTTTGTTATACTTACATAGTTGTAAATGATTTGAAACTACACGTGTAATTGCCCAGGAATTGTTCCATCATTTTTTTTTTTTAAGATTTTATTTTGTTTTTTAAAGTAATCTCTACACCCAACTTTCAACCCCCTGAGATTAAGAGTCGCATGCTCCACCGAATGAGCCAGCCAGGTGCCCCATTGTTCCATCATTTTTGGTAACTGATGTATAGATAGCGTACATAAATATGTTTGGATGGGTAATCTTTGTTTTTTTTAATTTTATTTTTAAATATTTTATTTATTTATTTGACAGAGAGAGACACAGCAAGAGAGGGAACACAAGCGGAGGGAGTGGGAGAGGGAGAAGCAGGCTTCCCGCAGAGCAGGGAGCCCGATGCAGGGCTCGATCCCAGGACCCTGGGATCATGACCTGAGCCGAAGGCAGACGCTTAACGACTGAGCCACCCAGGTGCCCCTGGATGGGCGATCTTTGAAGTAATCATTTATGTTCTTTTTCTTGCTGTATTTTTCCTTTTCCTTCCCTTTATGGAGAAAGAACAGATACTGTTTTTGTTTTTTCCCAGGAAGAGTATTGCAGCAAGGCTGAAAGCAGAAGTTGCCTGCAAAACATTTTCCTTTCTGTCTTTAGTGATTTTAAACTGAAGGGGAGCAGAATATACTACCCCCAAATATGCCTCTTTGGAATAAGGATTATTTTAGGCTGATTATTTTTTTTAAAAACAGCAGGCATGAGACCAAGCAGAAGTTACTCTTTTGTAGGAGATATTTACATGTGTAACGGAAATCTCCATTTGTAAGGGTGTCTCCCTCTCTGTACTAGGAAGAGAAGGGTGACTCGAGTCTCCAAAAACTGTTCTCAATGAAGAAGGCAAAGACTTAAATATGCATAAGAACCCTATCCTTGTTTACTGTGCTTTTCCTGGTTACCTCCCATAACTGGTCTCCCCCTAGCTACATCTTTTGTCTTTAGCTGGAGATGTTTTCTAAGGGCATGGCCTGGGCCATTTCAGAGAGTTACTCGTTTTCTTGGGTCTTTCCCATGTACATGGGGTTTGGCATGTTACTAAATTTTCGTTTTTCTCTCGTTAATCTTTTTATCACAAAAGTGTCTTAGCCAAGAACCTAGAAGGGTAGAGGGAAATTATTTTTCCTCCCACACAAGACCTATACCCATAGAGGAGTAAAATTCGTGGGTTCTGGAGCAGTGGGGACAGCAGGATCTCAGAGAGGGTAATATGTATGTAGATGGGGACATGGCCAACCTCACAACAGACTGCATGAGGTAGGAATTATTATCTCTGGTTTACAGACTGAACTCTGAGACAGTCTGATGGTGCAGAGTAACATGATGAAACGTGCCTATGACATCATCAAGAAATACGGGACAGATCCTTGTCTCCTGGAGCTGAGCTCATCCATGGATTTGGGTCATAAGTATTTATCCAGACTGGGACTCTCACTTCCCCAGCAGAACCTGCAATGCAAGCTTCTCTTCTTACTTCCTCCTCTCTGTTTCTTATTTAAAAATTAAAAAGTACAAAGAGTAGTAAGGATCATTTTGGATAGCTTAAGTTTCATCTAAATGTTATGCATGAGATCAGAGTAACAGAATTATGTTCTCTGATTCACATATATTTTGTGGTCAGTTGGGGCCCTCAGAATCATTTTTTTTCAACATCTGTTCATTGTGGTGTCTAAATGTGGTGTCTCTCCTTATGGGATGGGGGCTTCCAAATGTTGGGCAATGATGGGGTAGAAGCTAGTGACACTGGCCCTGAAAGAATTCACCTAAGGCAGAACAAAGGAGATAGGAATTTACTGAATATACTGCAAGGGAGTGGTGGGCAGGACAGCAGAGGAGTGGCTGTCTGCAAGGAGGCAGTGGGTGGGGGCTGTTTTTTCTGGGGGTGGAAGGGCAGAGGTGGAAGGAGAGAGATAATCTTAAGCAGGCTGGATCTCACAACCCTGAGATCATGACGTGAGCCAAAAATCAAGAGTGAGGCACTTAACCAACTGAGCCACCTAGGTGCCCCAAGGGTGGGGGACTGTTTGTAAAGGGGGCAGATGAGAAGATAGGGCGGGCAAAGTATGGAATTTTCCCTTTTTTGGTAATTGTGCCTGGTTGTAAGTAGCCCATTGGTTAGTTAGGGCTTATAGATATTTTGAGCTGGAGGTCACCTGATGGACCTGTGTGTAGTCAGGCAGGTGGGTGCTGAGGGCCCTTTCTGTACTCCATTGCTCAAGCCCGTTTACCTAAACGCAGCCTCTACACTCACGTTTGCCCTTTCTATTTTTGTCTCCTTAAATGACTGACCTTCTATGGAGTAAGTATTGTTGGTAATCAATACCAGGTAAACCGTAATGGATTTATACTGAGAAAGAATTTTTCTCATGTCCTACTCTTTGAAACCAATTTCGGTTGATTTTCACCCAATTTAGTGATATTCTACCTCAATATTATTTACTTGTCTATCCCAATAGTAGGCTCCACGCATTCCCCAGATATCTCTTGAGTCCTTAGGGAGGGTCAGGCATAGTTCTGTGTAATGGGAATATACATTCTCCACCATTTTGAGCAAAAGTAAGTCCTGGTCTTCTGAGCTGCATTGTGAGTCCTTGGAGGGTATGTGATAGATTACTAATGGGCAGGGTAAAGCTGACACATAATTATGTTGAATTTTACAGAGATCAAACATATATCTAAATGCCTCCAACTCTCCCACTGCCGTGTGTGTGTGTGTATGTAGGCGTATGAGAGGGAACAGCTGAAATGGAAAACAAATACAGGGAGGACCAAGTGGAAAATACAGGGATAGATTCCTTCCATGGCTATTTTCTAGAAATAGAGATAGAGACCTGCAGTTTCTAGTTATGAATTAAAGAAGACGAGGAAAGTCAAAGCAAGATTAAGACTCATCATAAATGATAAAATTGAGGTTAAGATTTTAAAACCCAGATCTCGATTTAAAAGGGTTAAATCTTGCACAAGGAAATCGTGCACAGTTGAAATAGAAGAATAAATTGTTTTGTGGTCTTAGAAAAAAACATTTCTTTTTCATTGTCCATGGGCAGTTTCTTGTTTAGAAGCAAAAAGTCATTTCTCTTTCTGCCCCAAGAGGGCAAGAACACAGTTTCTCCAACCCCATAGCATCTGAGTTGCTATTTGTGTGGTATGCATTCATGTACATGAAATATAAACGAATAAGTATGCTTGTCACATTCCAATAGCCTGTATTAAACAATTAGCTCACTGCTCAATTAAAGTTTACCCTAGCAGCCAGATTTAAAGTTGTCTTTGTAGTCTAAATAAATGCTCCTCTGTTAGCCTGGGACCTGGGCATTCTCAACTGGTGCTGGTGCAGTGCCTGGCCTAGAACTGATGCTATCCATTGTTGCTGGGGCTGAGCTTAACTGAACTGGAGGTCAAAGCTACTGTAGGTAGGTGGCAGTATGGTTCAATTCCCCACTTCATATGCAGCCAGTTAGGAATTTTAAACCCATCTCTTGGTGGTCTGGGGACAAGTTACTAAATCTTTTATAGCCTCAACTTTCTCATCTGTAAAATGGGAAAGTATTGGCTGCCCCAGTTATTCTATTAACTAAGACAATCTACTTAGTAGGGGGCTTGACACAATAAATGGTAGCTATTACATTACATATGAGGACTGATCAAATTCTACGTAATAATTACCATGATAGTAGAAGAGAGCAGAGAGCTCTTTAAAGAAAGCTGAATTAAGCCAACATTTCACTAACTAAAATGTTACCGACAAATTATTCATAGGTTTCAAAAGATTCTCTTCTCTGACATCATGGGAAGTTGAAAATTAATTTAATTAGCTGTACCTCTCACAGATCCTGCCTGAAACCCCAGGTTAGTATATTTTGGTACGTCTGCAGGGGGTTTAATTTGGGCAGAGGGGAATTATCTAATTTTGGCGACTGTAATAAAATTGGGTTAAAATGCCATATGCTAGGGCAGTATCCAAACTCCTTGGCCGTCAATGCTATTACTTCTGGAGGACAAGATGCATATTGTCTGCGCTCAGGCGGAGTTCAAGTCCTAAAGGGCCTTCAGAGGAAGAGAGATGTAGGTCCTTCAAGGAGAAAGGGTTGTAACAGGAAGAATCCAGCTGACTTTCCAGTAAGGAGCCATTGCCCTTATAAAGGGCAGGGAATCCTTAAGGGGGTGACCGCATGGGGTCAGGAGGAGCCCGGTGGGGCTGGCCCAGGGAGGATTCATCGGCCCCGCTACGTGTTCTGCAGCCCTACTGTGTGTCTCGGGACTGGCGCCCAAAGGCCGGCTGCCCACTGGGCGCACGTAGCCCGCGAGGTAACTGGCGCACGGAACAAGTCGGCCTGCTCTCCCGAAACCGTCCTTAGCCAGCCGGGGCAAGCCCGCTCCTCCCGGCGCGCCAGCCAGCCGTCTCTCGGCACTTGGAGTTCCCTGTCCGGCCGGCGGTGGGCGCGCGCCCCACGAGGCCCGAGCCCGCTGCCGTGTGCAGAGCGGGCCGGCCCCGCCGAGCCTTGGGGTCCCGCGGCCTCGGCGCCCACACGCCCCCAGCTCCGTGCACGCAGCCTGCAGAGGTTGGTGCGGCTAGTGCACTCGGGGTCGAGACCGGCCCACCCGCCGGCAGTACGGCGGGCCTGGCCGCACGCCGGGACCCCGCCGCGGAGGGGGATGGGGAGGGAGGAGAGACTGGAGGAGTTGGAGACAGACACAGCCTCGGCGAGCACAGTTACGGCTGGAGACAGACGGCGGCGGGAGGCGGAACACTCCCCCCCTCCGGCGACGGGAGGCGGGACACCTCCCTCGGCGGCTGCCGCACCGTCTCCCTCCTCCCCCGCCCCCCCTCCCGGAGGCTGCGGGCCGGGCCCGGCGGGACAGGCAGGCGAGTGCGGCTGGCCCTGCCCGCCCCGCGCGCCGCCGCGGCCGGCCGGGGATCCCCTGCGAGCCGGGGAGGAGCCGCCGCCGCCGCCGCCAGACAGGCTGCGAGTCCCTGGGAAAGTGAAAGGGGGGCGGGGAGCGCGGGGGAGGCCCGGGGGTAAGGTCCCCGGCTCTTAAAGAGACCCGGCGCACCGCGCCGCGCTCCCCGCCGACCCGCTGCGCGCCCCCCGCCGCGGCGGCCCCGCATCCCGCGCCCCTCCCCCGCGGCCAGCAGGGCCGGTGGCCCCGCGGGCCGCACTGCAGGCGGTACCCCGCCTCCGCTCCGGAGGGACGGCCGCAGGTGAGTGCAGACCCGAGGTGGCTCTTGTGGTCTCGGCGTCTGGCCCAAGTTCAGCGCTGCGCTGGGGCGGGGGGGGGGGGGGGGGGGGGGGGGGCGGGCAGGGACGTGTTTGGCTGGAAGTGCTGGCCTCTTCAGCCCCTGCAGCATGGGTAGGGAGGGTGTTGGGGAGGGCAGGGGGCGGAGGACGCGGGGACAGGACGCTCCGGGAACGGGACGTCCGCTAGCCTGCGCCGTCGGCGGGGCCCGGAGGGAGCTGCCCAGCCCCGTGAGTCCTCCCCAGACCGGCGAGTCCCCCGGAGACGAGTTCTCGAGGTCTGAGTCAGTGTAGCCCGTGGGCACGGCGGCGTCCTGGGGCGCTCGCCCCGGGCGGGTGTGGGGAGGGCGACCCAGCACTTCCGAGGCCCCGGAGCCTCTGCTTGTGTGCTCTGCTGGAGGAACACTACCGACCTATTTCTCGGTGCCCGGTGCGGGGTGTCCTGCGGTTGCAGGACTTAATTCTGCACCGCCGGGAGGCCGGGGTAAGCGCCGCGGTAACTGCCCAAACTGAGGTCTCGGTTCCCTTGGGCCTGTCAGCGAACCACTGCAGGCGGGGGGGTACTGGAGGTCAGCGGGAAGCGGGAAGATTGTGCAGGACCTTGCTGGGGAGTTTGCGGGAAGGAAAAGGGGCGGGAGCGGGCCGTACCCTGAACCCTGCATCCCGCTGCGGGACAGCCCGCAGCCCGCGGCTCGGCACCTCGGCACCCAGCGTCTCGCGGCCCTGGGGCCCCCGCCTCACCCGGCGTCTGCCCGGGTCCCCCTGCGCGCGTTGACGTCGGTCGCGGGGCCGCCCGGAGCTCCCGGCATTGGCTGGGAAGTCGATTGTCTCGGGCGGCTGCTGTTACACTTAGGCTGGGTCTCTGAGCCCCGGAGGAAGCAGGCGTGCGTTGAATTTCTCTTTGACTCTCATGGTGGAATAAACAGGAAACGACGAGCACCCAGCCCGGGCTCAGCACTTGCCTTTGTTGTGGGGTCCGCTTTGCACAGTGGCGAGGAGGCTTCCCTGGGACCCCTGCCCGGTGCGCCGCCCGGCGTGGCGTTGAGGGCGCGCCCCGTAAGTACGCGGCTGGAAGACGGTGGGCTCGGTTCAGGTTAATTCGCTGTGGTGGCGGAGAGGGCATTTGCTTGTTTCAAAACTTTTATTTTAATTGCAAAAGGAAGAGGCTTCTCGTTGAGGCAGAGATTTTCAGGAGGACGACACGGACGCGTGGTGGGTGGGTGGCACCTGGAGAAGGCGCGTCAGTCAGTGCCCTGGTTCCCGGTTTAGCTGGCGGGGCACCGTGCCGCCGGTCACAACAGCGAGAAACTCTTTAAAGCAAGCAGGGCTTCCTTGCTCCTAGCCGGGCACGGGAATGATTGCTGAGTGGCAGTGGCCCCATAAACTAGCTTAATTTTTGTTTTTCCCCAAAGAGACTTTTAATGAGCTAGAATTGGGTAATTTTGATTTGCTTCTTTTCTCTTTCTCTGTGTCCCATCTATTACCTTCTCTTTCTTTGCAGTTACTTTGGCAGCTTCTTATCCCCAGGCCCCACTTATGGTACAGTGCTGCTTTCTACAATGTTAATTAATTACTGTGATAAATACTCACTGATGACCTACTATGTGCGAGGCATTGTAGGCTGTGAGGTGAGATAAGCTGTTACAGGATGTTGATTCCTAGAGCTACTATAATTAAGTTTCTTGCAGTAGGGGTGGGTAGAGATGGTGAGCAGCCTTGGTCCTTAAAAATATGTGGGTCCCGTGGCTGGCATGGAGGTTGGTGCCTTCCTTTATGACTAGTATTAGGAAACTTCCCTTTAAAATGGCCCTTTCCTCTTGTTAGGCTAGCCAAGAAAGATATTCTTCCCTTTGTATCTCCCCTGGAGCTTCTGGACCGAGCTTTGAATTAACAAGGAATGTTCTGTAGAGTCTGCTCTGAGAAACTGGCATTGCATCAAGCCATGTTCTGCATTTTGTATGTGACTATTTAGTTCTTTCTAGTATTTATATTGAATTTACTGTCATCTGTACATCTGTCTTTGCACTCCGCACAGTTCTCTTGCAATATTCTTTATGTTCAGTAAAGGATCATAATGTCAAATTTGAGTCATTACATAGACAAATGAGTAGATCTGAATATTGCCCATCCCATGCACATTTATTGAATTATAATATTTGGTTTCCTATCAACCCTTGAATTCTATTTGATGGCCCCTGCAAAGCAGTAATTTTTAAAACATGGGTAAATTCCTCATGATCTTTGAAAGCTTAATTCTTTTAAGAGCTTCACTTTGCAATTGACATTGAACACACTGTTAGGAATTAGGGCTAAGACGGTAAATGCCAGTTAGGATTTGCTGTAATGGAGTTGTAACTACCTTCCTCCCTTGTTTTAATTTCTTAATATTTTTTTCTGTTGCCCTTGGAAGAGTTTGCCGTCATTGGCCATGGTCCTAGTTCATGTAGGTTTGTATTTACTATGGAGAAGACTTTTCCCACAGGGTTTTAGGGCTGTCTCTTGAATCCTCTTGGGGGCTTGGTTTGCATGACCACAGTCCTGCAGAGGAATCCAGCCAGTGCCACCTGCTTATTAAGGGATTTTGTGCCAATTTGTTGGCACATAGTTTGAGAATCAAAGCTCCCCCCCCCGCCCGCCTCTGCCATAGTATATACATACATAGACAAATATTTCCCCCCAACTGCTGACAGTGTTCTAAGAATAGTTTTCTTGCCTGGCGCGCTGAGAGCAAGGACCCGTCTGCAGAGGTGTTTACAGTTTGGGACTGTGCTGTAGTCTTGGTTGACTTAGCAGCCTGGCAGAGTAGCCTTGTAGCTCATGGGACACTGTCTGTTTTCATCTAGGCTGCTGGAGGGGCAATTCCCAGCTGGACAGGGCATCATAGAGAGCTGAGAATGACTTTTGCTCTATGAGGGTAGTTTCTGTCCTGATGTCAAGCAGAGACCCTTAAACTCTGTCTGGATCACTTTGCTTTCACCTAGCTCTCAGTCACCCCGTGGTCTAGGTTCGAGAGGGTTGTTCTGTGTCATCGTACAAAAGCCAGGCACTCTCAGGGCTGGGGCAGGGACACTTGCTGTTGTGACACTTGCTAGTCAAATCTTTCTGGTAGTCCTTGCCATATTTCTTCTCATGTTTAATCATCTGGGCTTATGGAGTTTCTATGATGTGTCTGTCCTTTTGGGTGAGAGTTAGTAGAGAAGAAAGAAAACTCAAGGAGCAATAGCTATAAAAAGATTATTCCATATTAACCTGGAAAGTTTTTAGAAATGTTAAACATACTTGATGTAGACACATGGCTATTAACTGTAAACAGTAGCAAAATTGCCATTGTAGCCCCATCTTGCACTTTTGTCTTTTCTCCTCCTCCCTTCCTCTAGTCTTTCCTCCCTTCCTCCCTCCCTTCCTTCCTTCCTTCCTTCCCTCCCTCCCTCCCTCCTTCCTTCCTCCCTTTCTTCCTGTCTCAGAAAACTCTTCTGGAAGCCATTATTTTCTAGTGTCAGAGTGACTTTCTGCCTACATGGGATTCTTTAGTCTATAATTACACCTTGACCTATATTATGGGTGTGCATGGAACATGAATCTTAAGTTTTAAAATAGGAACATAAAGTTTCTGCCTTGAAAATTTAGGCTACAAGACCTGACGCTTTTTTAGGGGAAATTTTGTGTGTGTGTGTGTGTGGCGTTATTTGTTTCACTGTTAGGCAACTAAAGCAAACAGCCCCAAGCACCTGTACTATTAAGTGCTACAGAAATACTGGATTCATATTCCCAGTTACTATTGTTTTTTCCCTCTATCATAAGAGGAATTGAAAATAGTGTTTGTGTTGTCTCATATCCATGTGATTTAAGTATGGATTGTTTTTCTTTGAATTTCCACTAAAAATGGCACTTTGGCCTTTTAAGCTGTTTTTGTGAGGACTTTTCTTTCCACTAGGCTTGTTTTCCAGATAGGTCTTGGAAATTACGAAGAACATAGCTATAATTTCTCTCTTGATTGGCAGCTGAGAGCTTTCCCGAACAAAAATAAGGCTACACTGTGCCAAATGGTTGACTTTTCTAGAATAAAAACTCTAAAGGGTATGCAAAAAGTCCTCTGGTTAATATATTGGCATTCCCAGAACCCACTAAAACTCCGGCAGCCTGCCAGACACCACTTAATGAGGATGCAGAATGTCTGGCTCAAATCCCCATGAGCAGAAGGGGGTGGGGAGCTGATGTCCACACCCTTTATTAATTTTTAATGACTGTACTTTTGTTTTGCAGATTTTGCTCTGTACCCCCTCATGACTGACCCCCTCCACACCACCCCTTCCCCCATCCATTTATTTACTCATTTACTTGGCATTGGAAAAATGTTGAGACTTTCAAGGTTAAGAATCCTGCTGAGGGATCATTTCTGTTTGCATAGGTTCTTTTGTTGTGGCTTTTCTTTCTTTTTCTCCCCTCCCAGCCCTTTTTTAGAAGAGGAAGAGAGAAAAGGAACAGAAAGAGAGAGGACAACTTTTTTTTTTTTTATGATGCTTTATTGTCTGCTGGAAGAGAACCATTTACGAAACTTTAAGTTTGTCAGACAGTTTATATGACAGTGCAAGTTGGTGCTTGCCAAGCTCCAGACAGATTGCTAATGTTACATGACAGGGATAAATAAATTACCGCTGTCTGCAACACGCTTGCACTGCAAACGCACTCTGCAGCCGGCGTCCGGGCGCTGCGCACCCAGGGAGCCTGTTGGATGTGCAGCTGGGAGGAAGGCCTCTGCCTATTGCCTAGAATTCTGTGACTTGGTTCGGAAACGAAAAGGGTGTGTCTCGCTTTTATTTTTGGCAATGCTGCAGGGCGGCAGAATGCACGTAGCAGCTGTGTGTCCTTCGTTTTGCTGGGCAGCTCTGACCCCTTCGCCTCCCCTTCCCCTCCTCCTCTCACCCCACCATATTCTTCCCTGTGCACCAGGGGGCATGGCACCTAGTCTTTCTCCCAGGGACCTGCAGCAGACAAAACTAAACTTTGTTCTTAGCTGCTCAGGCCTTACGTTTTCTCAAAGCCAAGTTTCAGGCTGTTTACAAGTTGCGTTCTTTCTGCAGGTGCAGACATTGAGAACAAATTGTCTGAGATAAGTGTGTGTGGCTGCCCCGGGGAGGGGGCTGGGTGGCACTCCTTGGGCATAATGTACTTTCATCTCTGGCAGTTTGGATAGTCAGTTGGCAGAGTGACAGGTGTAATGAACTTAATGGTCTCGCTCTAGTTGTTAGTGGACACACTGCTCGCATTACAAAGCCAC